CACCACTACCTTATTGCTGACAGCTGCACTAAGCATCCATGCAATTGCTTGTAGGTGGATGCCTTTATTGAAATCTCTCTGTTTATATATTAATTATTTCTATAGAAAACACAGAATTATAACAGTGGATCTCTTAGTTACTGGATGAAAAGCAGGAGAAACACTGTGGCTGTGTTTATCAAACAGAATTTAAGTCAAATCATATGCAAGTGATCACCAATACAATAATGTTTCAAATGCCCAAGGTGCAGTTTTTTCAGAATCCCTACATAGCTATTCCCACTGAAAGTCAAAGATGTTCCGATTAATAGTTTCACATAACTGTTAACTATTTCAGTAGTTAAAATTTTGAGGCTCCTATTCAGAGCAAAGCTCCTGGTAATTGAATACTCACTGAAGTACATTGTCACCTATCACCTATGCTTGCCCTATGCTGTTTGGGTCTCCGCTGCCCCTGCTCTGGCCTGGAGCCAGTCACCTCTGGCTCAGGGCATACACTCTCTCTTCCCCCAGCGGGTCCCTGGCAAGAACATATTTGCCACCCAGTGCCACGGAGAGATGAGGGGAAAGGTCTGCTCAGGACAGAATGTCATTTTTGCCAGCCCTTCCCATCTCAGCAGAGTCCTGCCAGCTAAACTGCTGAAAATGGTCCGCTATCAGTGGAGTGATCCTAAAAGTAATTCCTGTCTGATTGAAATCACAGAGATGGGGATTTGAGTCCAATATCTGTTGTATTTTGTGAGAAGGAAAGGAAGATCTATGTCCCCAGCAACTTGAGCTGTGTCTGGAAAAGACATTGAAAAAAATGATAGATCTGTCACTTCATAAGTCAGACAAAGGATGAGGTATAATAAATACCTGTGCTCATCCTCCTTCACTGAAGCTGTTTTTCATTTTGATTAGTGATTTTAAAAGCTCATTTCTTACTTTTCTGTTTTACTTCTAGGAAGGTTTTTCCATTATACAGTCTCCATATACACATGAAAACAAAGATCACAATAAACCAATATATGCACTGAGACTAGAACTTTCTTTCTTCTCAAATTAAATAATAGTGGTGATATAAACAGGTGAAAGTATTTTACCAAGGTATTAACAGCCTCAGGATCCGTATTAATGACAGGCTTATTCAAGTATGAAATGCCTACTGGCTTTTCTCCAAGGTATTTAAACTAATCAGATGCTAAGAATAAGGGAATAGTTTTCCTTTCACTCTCACTTCAAGACTTTCAAATTTTCATTGACTTTGATGATACCTGCTTTACACCAGGACAAGTGAGAGAAGCATCAAGCCAAAGTCCACATGTAGCAGCAGGTCTGAAGGTTGAGCTGAAAATAGTATTATTGACTAACCCAATTTTAGAATGAAAGATAAGTCAACCTATAATACTGACAAAAAAAAAAATTGCATCCCAAGTATATGTGGTTTCACTTTATTTTCAGCACCCATGTAAAGTTATTTCCTTCAAACTGACATTTGGCAATTCTGCATGAATTAAACCAGGCAAAAAAGCAAACCAAAAAAACCACCACCAAGTCATAAAATTTATATGTCTTTTCTTTTTTTCTGAGCTTGCTAACACTGACTCATGTATTGCTCCAAAAGCTGATTGGTTTTGTGAGTTGTTTTAGCTCAGGGAGGGGAAATCTACCCAAGGACACATTTTATATTGTAGGCAAATTCAAAGACATAAGATGCCCACAGTTTTGAAAAGGAATGTGCTGCTCAAAAGGTGAAACAAAGAAGAAAAGGTAACTTGCTTGAGCAATGAAATTAAAAAAGAACAACTTGCCAGTTCTCTAAATCTAATCCAGAATTTTCAATGGAATAAAAATTTGTTTTGATATATACAGTTGCACTTATGGACATGGTCAAGTGCTGGACTTGATTGTCCAGCAGGTTAAAGGTAGGGACTTAAAGGTAGGACTCTAAATATAGGTTAAAAGTTGGACTCTAATCTTAAAGGTCTTTTCCAACCTAAATGATTTTATTATTCTGTGGATGATTGTGTCTCTGGACTTGCCAGAGATTGTTGTACTGAGACAAATAAACTGAGGACTTCTGGGCACACAATAAATGACCATGGAAAAATAAGAATGAAATTAGTATTGAAATTAAGTTGGTCATCTAGTTTAGCCCATTGCTCAAAATGCAGCAAAGTTCAAACTAAGACTAGGTTTTCTTTCACTGTTTCAAACAATCTGGCTCAGCATTTTGTGACAGGCTTTGTAATGTAGTTGCTGTTTGCCATTTTTCTCAAGTCATTCTGTAACACCCTAGCTTTATCTGTGTGGGAAAGGCATTGACCTGAAAGCAGTCTTAAACATGGAACATAGTGGTGTCCCTCTGTGCCTGAAGAAGAAAGGTGATTAGAGATGTCTTTTGACAGATCACAGATGTGAAACACTGCAGAAGGATTCTGGGTTTTGTGAAACTCAGGACTGAGCTGGGAACTGGTATTCTGTCACATCCCAACCAAGATAATACTCTGAGGATTAACAGTGCCCTCAGAAGCACCACACTGCAATTGCTGCCAAAATCTGTGAGACAAGTACAACATTACAAAAGAAGAAAGGGTTTTAACTGCTTTGACCTGCAAGAACTAAAAATGCACTGAAAGACTAAAAAGGATAAACAAGGAAGGGAGAAACTCAAAATGGTATTGCTGAACACTTGAACAGACTTGACAATAATGGGAAAACATTGGAAATTATTACTGCAAGTATACCAAACCTTTTAAGCTTTCACGTTCCCATTCCCTTGACATTTTCAATGACATTTCCTTGGCTAAAGCCTCAACTGTATTGTAAATACTCTGCAGTCACAGGTCATTTGAGCAATTCCAGTTTGGGCAGTGTTTGTGATTACTTTTAGAAGAGTGTATGGAATGAAATAATTTAAAATTGACTACATGAAGCATACTTTTGATAATCACATGTTCTCTGTACTCATGCTTGAATTTATCTTCCCAATTACAAACATTTCCAGATTGCTTCTGACTTGTCTATTAAAATATACTTGGTGCTAATCAAAACTGTGCATAACCTACTAATCATGCTGTCAGCTGCTACTAGCTCTGTGGGTATGGCAAGATTCAGGAGAAAAACCACTTGAATTATATGGTTATCTAACCTGGTATTTGCTGATGGGCTTATCATGTACGTTCCAAAAGGGCAGGGAAAAGGAATAAACTTAGGAGGCTTGGACAAATGTTACCAGGTGCTCTAAAACTGTGGTCAGCTTTCTGAATACTTGCACATGAGAAAGGGTAGGCAAATGCCCTCTCAAGACATGTTCCAGTGTGCTTTTCTAAGTAGGACCTAGGCGATTAATTTCAATTTACGCACAGTGAACAACTGAATGTAAATCAGAAAGCAGCAAATGCAGAACCATTTTGCAGTGTAATAAACCAAAAAATCCACAATTTTTGTTTCACTTGAAAACATTTCCTACCATTCTGAACTTGCTGTTTTGTCTTACTGAATTATTTCATTATTATTGATTTCCATGCCAGCAGCACTCACATGCTTAGAGAATTCTCAAGCAGTGTTTTACACATTCATGCACGCTCTCCAACACATAATCTTTCCTGAAATGTGCCAGTGGCAGTCAACAGGGCAAGAAATATTACTACTTTTATCTCTCATATTGGAAACCAAGACCTGGAGATATCAGGGCTCTTATTAGGAGTTCTGCAACTCATTATGCACAGGTAAATTGTTACAAGCATGCAGAAGTCTGTTTTCAGGGGGATTTGCACGAACATAGCACGGACTGCATGGAACAGGCTGCACGGCCAGATCCCAGTTCATCATTTAATGTCACTCAGAGACGGAGTTACGTGCACAAAGCATGTGTCCAGCAACACTAACTTATTAAAGTTACTGAGAAAGAAACAAGAGGTATTTTCAATGCTGGTTTATTTGTTTGCTTGTTTTTCATTCAGCAGCACATGGCTCACTAGTTATAATACTAAGCTTCTGGAATAATTGCATAGTGCCTGTTAAATACATGACAAACTGGGAAAGTGATACTTCCAAAAAGCAGTTATCAATTAGTAGGGAAACAGCAGGGTGAGGGCGTGTACTAATTTCTCAATAAATCCTGATGGCCAGGCACAGCTTATGTTGGAATCAAAGATCAAATACTTTATTCTTATATTAAACACCAACCACAGTGGAATCTCAGAACAGAAGATTTTATTCTTTAGATCTGTATTTGTAAAGGCTCCTAAACTGTTTTACAATTGCTGCTGAACATCAGTGCACTCAGATTGTTTTGCTGCTGCTCACAGAGTGAATGGGAAACACCTAGAGGTAAGAACCTGCTTCAAACCAATTTACTGTCTTATTAATGGGTAAGAAGGTAGAATGCTAGCAATGGTTAAAAGTCATAACTCTAGTTACTAGCTATAGCCACGTGAAATTAGTCTTTCTATTCTTGCCCCATCGTCAATGAAGAGGGAGACCTTTAGAATATCAGCTACCTTCTTTTGTTGCAGTGGAGTGATGCACTTCACTTGTAAGAGAGAAGTAGCAGTATGTTTATTGATATAAAACCATGACTTAGCAAAGTTTGATAGTAAATGTGACAGTGGTTTAACAAGGCTCAGTGGCAAGGTGCACTTGATTAGTTACTGCATAGAGGACAGGGTCAGACAAAACTGTTAGGGAGACCCTCCCATTGAGTCATGATGTTGCTGATTTGGGGCTTTCTAAACAAAGAATCATAGTCTAGATTTTTAAATGAGATGCTTATTCTATGCAGGGTGCTCAGTGGAAGTCTCCACAAATCAAGCACACTGATGACTCTAAGCTATTTATACATTTTGACAAAGAAATCAGTATCGATTGGTTGAGAATTATGCAAATTGTTCATTAACTAGTATGCCACCCCTTACTGGTTAGAGGTCCCTCTCATTTCTCATGCAAATCAGGCATGCAGGCTCAATCTTTCTCTTCCCTTGAGTCAGTGGGCTGTAAGTCATGATGCTCCTTCCAGAATTACCTTTTGTCTAATTACTGCCCATTTTCTTCTGGGTAGTCATCCAAGGGCTGGGGCCTGATGTTCCTTATTATCAGTCCTGACTCATTACTCAGAGAAGCTGGGTGTATGTTCTTTGCCTAGAGAAGTCTTTGAATGTTATGTCAGATATCTAGCAGAGCTATGATTGGATTAGCATTGTTTTGGGAGATGTTACAAGCACCAGTAAGGTTCAGAAAGGACCCCCTTGTGTTCTAAACTTCTTTTCAGAGGCAAGTTTAGGTGCAGCTGGATCCAAATTTAATCCTAAACTTGGTCAACGGTGTATGTCTACAGGATTATATGTGTACAATCAATAGTTTATCTCAGTTAGCTAAGATTTCAACATTTAGCATGTTATTAATCACAGATACTAATAGGAAACAAATCCATCAGATTTTTTTTTCACAGAAAAAGCTGAAAATTCAAGTCATTTTCCTGAACAAAAATCGGAGAAGACACCAAAAAAAAAAAAAAAGCAGAAGAGAGATACATAAAATCTTAATGTAGATGATGATGAGTAGAGGTAGAAAATATGCATATTCAGTTTCCAGGAGTGCCAGTGCCATACCCACAGCTGATCATGTTAAGACAGATACACTAAAAATGCTCTATGTGGTGCATATCGAATGCATGCTAATAATGCCGGTAGAAGAAATGCAGAGTCCATACAGCTCTGAAGCTCACTAGAAGTATGATACTTTACAAACCAATAAAAGTCATATTCTCTCTCTCCAGAATATGGATATATACCTCCGCAGGATGCATCTGTCTGTCTTAAATTAAGCCAAATCATGACACATGTGGGATTGTGAAGAAGTACTGGAATACACTATTATGAAAGGTACAGTTACACACGTATTAAGGATTAACTTTAATTCTACTATCTTTTACATATTAAATGTAAATATATGCAAACACAGAGGTATAAGTGACGTTTACCATTCTATAAAGCTGTTCTACAAATGGCTTTGTAGAATTACAGGATAGATTTTGAATGATACAAGAAGAGCCAAATAAGTGATGCATGTAGTGGCTTAAAATGAACTGAAAAAAACTGAGATATCTCCAAGTGATTGAGAAGCTAAAGATGTCATCTTCTGAGACACAGGATTTCACTGGAGGTATAAGACAGAATCAAATAAGAGAAGTCTTCATTTGTACTAAAGGAAATCTCATTAGGCTGTAATATAGTACAGGAAAAAAAGAAGAATAAAAATGGCAAATTAAGAGATTTACTTTAAAGCAGGGGGAATGGGCTAGTAAAAAACAAAAGAATCAAAGGAAAGAAAGGAGAATTTGGACAACATCATGCCTTTAAAACATGAGGAGGAAATATGTTTTTGAGGCACTGGAGCTGAAGGGTGAGAATGGAGATTCAACCTCAGAGCTTGGAAAGCAAGGACACTTTGGGGTTATTTTTTTTCCAGGCAGACAGCAACATTCAGTAGGTGAATTTGGGTTCTTCTGGATCCGTGTGCAACAGCAACTGGAAAGGCTGGCTGCAGGCAGCTGCAGTACCTGTGTTCACAGGAAAAGGCAGAGAGCATTGCAAAACTGCATGTGTATATTCCATGCATCATATCAGGGGAATCAGCATGCTTCATTTCAGAAGGTGATCTCAGTGGTGCTCTGTGAGCAAGAGACATTTCTTCCCCTCCCAGAGTTTTTGCATTCACTGCCTTCCTCTGGAAGCCCCCTTCATCCTCCCAAACTCATGTCATCAAAGCAGTTTTCAATACCGACCTCCCTTTCTCCCATCATACTCAGTGAAGACTCTTCTGTCCATTAGTAGCTGGGTTTAGCCCAGTTTTTTGTCTGCTTTTTACCTAGGGTTCCTGTGCCTTGTGATTTTCCCTGCTCCTGGCAGAATGCTTTTGCTGTCTCAAGGGTTTCATCTGCACTAAACCATTTCTCTGCTGCTTCACACTGTCTGCTGCTCTGTCCCTAGCTATTCTGCCTTTTAAGCTATTATTGGTCTGTCTGCTCCCGATTTGGATCAATACTCAAGTCCTTGAGCCTTTCACTCACACCGTATTTCTCTCTTTGAACCTCAGTCCTTTGTACCCTGTCTGATCCTGCCACTCTTCCAGCAGTGTTTGGAAATAATAAGTCCCTAACAGGGTTAACTGATTGCTTTTGTACAGATGGCTTGATCACACAAATTGCAAAACATAAAAGAGACAGTGCTTTTACCAGTGCTAGTAGGCAAACCCAAAGGCTGCACAAAGTCCCCCAAATCTTTAAGAAACTTTGTGACTTTCTAAAGAATCCAGTACCTCAGTTTCATTGGTATCTTCCCTGTGTAAGGTCCTCTTTCTGTGCTTACATTTTATTATAATATTACTGGTTGCAAAAAAGAATTGTTTTCTTGATAAGGGGGAGAAGATAGGAAAGCAGCTAGGCTGCTAACGTGGGATACGGGTAACTCTGTTCAAGTCTTTTCGAGGTAAAATTGTCCTCATGTTATTTTGTGTAGATAATGGTTTCTCTGTCCTTCCATGCAGTATGAAGGGATGGTCTTCTTTCCTCACCAAAGTTTTGTAAGGATGAATACACTGAAGGTTTTGAAGGACTCTGTCACTACATCAGTGTGGCACTATAAGTGCCTAAGAAACAAAGGCAATTTATTACTCTTATGCCAAATGCCTAACAGCTTTCTAGTAGCATTAAACATCCATGATTTCATCAGCTTTGTTTAACATATATTCTCTTTTCTTTCACACAATAATGGTATTTACATATTCCCCATGCACAATTAAAGAAATATGTTACAATATCTGATGAAATGGAAAAGGCCCAGGTTCCTGCCTCCCAAGATAGGTCATTAGGGTGACATAGATTTAATTTGGCTTTAAATAGGGCTGTGGATTCTATAGGAAAGAAGAACATTTTGTAAATATCATTCATATTCTTAATGAATATACATATCATAATTTTGAGTCTTCTGATTTTCTTTCCTTTCAAAAATGTAAAAAGTGTGAAATCCAGGAAAACATCTTGGGCAACACTCCAAGTCATTGCATGCTTTCTATGAACATTCATTTTTTTAAAAAGCTATTGGGACTTCATACAGGTAAAGGGGCTTCAGGGCACAGCTGATCACATCAGTGACCAACTGTGACCAACTGAGGCCACATGTTGGTGTCAACTTCTTTTGAATGTTCCTAAGAGGCTACTGGCCTTAGTCCAATACCTTAATTAAGAGACCTCTCATTTGGCTTCACAATATTATGAGGGATTAGTTATTCATACAGAGGTGCAGACCAAGTTAAGAACAAGCTGGGTTCTCTACGCTTCATTTCTGAAGGTCTAAAACCCAACAGAAATACTGTTTAAAGCCTTGCTTTAACCTGCAGAACTATGTATATTTTCCCCTTAAGGAAGAAATTAAAAGGCTTCAGCATTTTCCCAAATTAAGCTAATGAAAACTTTGATCATGATTTAATTCACTGTGGGAGACCACTATAATTTGATAGAGATTGATTGTTCAATCTCTGTCAGGCACTCATTTGATCTACAAAAGTTGTTAGATATTGCAAGTGGTCAGAACCACTAAAAATATGTTTTGCATATGATATCAAAAAAAAAAAGAACAAACCAACCCAGTGCACACCATCAAATGAAAAACCCTCTCATATCAGCTTTTCTCAGTGTAGGGGTGTTGATAAGTGCAGCTGAATTCCTTTAAAAAACTAAGAAAAATTAGAGAGGATAAAGTCTATATCTTCCCAGAAATGGTAGTTTGTGTTTGTGCCGTTTTTCCCTAATGGTCACACGGAAGGCTGGTAATAAACTACAGTTTCTTCATACAACTGTTCCACTTTCATCACACACACAGAGCTTTTTTTTTTTTTTTTCCAGAAGGACAGATGAAATAAAAAAGAATTGACTGGTCTTGGTAAAAATCGATCAATATAGCATGCTACAAGGACTTTGAAGTGCAATCAGCACAGAAAATATGTCTTACTTTGAATCTGCCAGCCTTGAGAATATCTCTTTAATTTTAAGCCACAGACATTTTAACACAATGGATAAAACCAGACATCTAAGTAACCTGAAAACTTAGCCTGGTAGAGAGCAACTCTAGGCCATTTATAATCACAAAAAAAGTAAAGCCAGCAATGACTTCCCCAAAGACTTTGTAGATACTGAAGTCTTGTACAATTTTGTGCATTTTGATCATCATGTTTCATAGTGTAAGTCATCTGTCAGCTTTTTAGGAAGCCCTCCCTACAGCCTGCTATCTGTCCCATGGCAGCAGAAGAGGCTGTGATGACGACAATGGGGAGATGCACCATTGGTCAGAGCTGCCCATGGGAAATGTTCTGGAACATCCACAGCATCCAAAGCTGGAACTTTTTGATTGGAGAGGTCATCCCTGGAGGTACAATTTACTATTTATAAATCTGTCAAAATCTCTTAATAAGAAGGTTTGAGTACATCATTTGGAAAGACTTTTATAAAGAAAGATGAGTCTTTATAACGGCTTAGCTCAAAGATGTCCAGTTCACACAGTGCTTTTGGTATCTGCAGTTTCACAATATAAATGCCATTGAAAATGAGGCAGGGACATTTTTCTGCCTTTCTCCCTTCCCTTTTATTTGACAAATAAGTCTAGGGACAGGAAGTTTATGCTGCAGGCTTTATGCTCTTTAAGTTCTGCTCAGTTCATGGTGATAGCTGCTACATTTGAACAACTGCCTGCTGATCTCCCATTTGCCCTTTGCTGCCTTTGATGGGTCTCAGTCTCCCAGCCATGGCAGCAGCTAGAAGGGGCCAGGATAAACACACAGAATGGGTTTGGCAAAACTTCTGGGGTAAACAGAAAATCTCCCTGGCTCCCACTGCTCAAACAACCTGTGCAGCTATTCCCACTCTCTCAGGCATCCTCCTTTACTCCCTGCTGCCTGTCAGCTATGCACACAAACCATAACATTCCTGCATACCTTGCTGTTATCACAAACCTATCAAGTTCAGACACCTCCCATGAACACCCTTCCTACACCTCCCAAACCAGACACTCTATCCCAGCAGCCCTAGGCACCCTCTCTGATGTACTCATAACTGGCAAAGTTAGTGTTTATCTGTGTCTTTCCCTAATGCTGTTTGTGGAAGGGTAGCTTAACCATAAGATGAAATTAATTGGCATGTAAAATTATTTGAAAAATGCAGATTAGTCCATTAAATCATTTAAAATGTCATGCACAGTGCAGCACAAAATTTGGCAGGGACAAGGGATGATTATCACAGGTAGGCAGGCCAACAGATGGCTTAGGAACACTGGCTCTAAGAAAAGGATGTTGTTCTTATCTCCTGGACTGTCTCTTTCCATGTTAATAAACAACTACTAGTTCAGAAATGGAAATGCCTATCAGTTCTTTTTGCTTCACTGCAGAGCGCATTAACAACACTGGCATTTGCATAACCACAACACTACCACATGCTTATCTCTGCAGGGTCATTTTAAACTTCAACGTCACTAAAGCCGGTAAAGGGAGGCTGACAAAGTGAGAGGTATTTTTAGTTGGAGAATAATGATGCCCATTTAGTTTCCACATATAAGCTCCTATGGAGTGTTTTCATAAATGTTAGGTTTAGCTAGGTGTCATGGTGAAAACTTTCTGTATAGGTGCAATTGCATAGTAGTTCAGGTGGACTGTGAGATGTGCCAGTATTTCACCACGCTTTTTGTTCATACTCTGCTATTCCTTGGTGATCTGATGCATCAAGAAACATTTTATTTGCATTGAATTTTGCAGTTCCTAAGGGGATGGACAGTGCCTGTGTAGGAATGTGCACAGTGCCTTGTTAGAGAGCTGTGCTATTCCTACAGTTCAGGAAAAGAAACCATGAGCTATAACCAGATGGGCTCAACGTCAGAAAAGAAATTGGGGCATCAAGCAGGTGGCAGATGGAAACTGTCTGTAAGAAAGTCCAGATGGTCAGAGCTGCAAAAACACTGTGCTGGAAAAGCTGGGCCTCCATTCCAGGACCCCTGGCATCTGTATTTCTTCCTATAGTCTGTCTGAATTCAGTCTGTGTTCAGGCTGATCGTCAAAGAATCATGAAGATCTTCAAAGGAGAATCATGGTTCCTCATGACTGCTTGAGGTGGTGACCTCAAAAATGGGAAAAAGTGAGAAAGCCTTCTCAGGAGGACAAGTAGGAAGGAAAGTTGCAGCGGTGTTTGCCATCACAACACACATCATGGTAGGAGTGCAGACAGGTGTCAGCCTCAGATTTGAAGGTGGATCAGACCACAGTCAGAGCAGACACTACATACAGAAACTTGCTGTAGACGTGCCTCATGCTGACAGATACTGTGGTTGCCCCTGAAGGAAAAACAGTGTTGCTTGGAGGCAGGAGGATAAGGTGGAGAGAGTCCAAAATGAGGGTTTTGTCTGAAAGAGGCAGTGTTTGCATTTCCTCTGATTAACAGAGCATGCATCTCACAAGCCGGTGTGACCATTACCACAACACTTGAGTTGACCTTCCCTGGAGTAGGTGCAATATGTGAAG